GAGTTATTCTTACTCGTTGTTTCTTCAAAGAATGCTCAGCTTCGGTGCATAAAGAAAACTTGGTTATTCAAAGTTGCGATTGTTTGAAAAACACAAGTTGTTATTTTAATGGTCTACACTGATGAAGTGTTATCCGTTAATTTCATGGTATTACATGTAATGTTGCAATTTTAATTTCATTTAATACCATCTCTTGAAACATGCTTCACTGACTTGGGCGTTATACACCATAGCGCATAAACATAAGCAAAAAAGTAAAAATCTGATAATGTAGAAGTAATGGTAAGAATCAATCCATTTTGTATTCACTTCTATGTAAATTAGCCCATAAGATTAGCAGTCTGGAAATGATGTTTCATCGGGGTGAGGTGGTTACATACTTGATGTCAATTACATGTTGGTGACCTAGCGCTTATCCATTATTTAGTTCTATGCAAAATATGAATATGTCTAAACGACTGATAATAGGATAGTCAGTTATCTAGAGATTCGTCGGAGCAAGAAGTTTGTTTGAGGTTTTTATTATGGTTTATCTTGTGTTTCCCATATAAAGTATTTCATCTGAAACTTCTACATATATTTAAGAAGTGATTTTCAAGTGTTATATTTTATTCATAAGTTCTTACGCGATGTCATACGACTGCTCATCAGTTTCTTAAAACATTCCTAATAACAGCCAGCTAGTGAATGAAGTGTAAAAAGTCGGAACAACTGGTATAACTTTATCAACAGAAGAAGCAGTTATTTGACACTACGCGAATAAAACAGAACCTTTAAAAATCGCGTCATTATTTATCATCTCTTGGGCTCACTTACGAAATTTTAATATGTAGTTTATACTATTTCATTATTTGTTAAATGTGTCTTTCGCGACTATCATATGACGTTGATGTATCATAGATCTCATTGAACCAATCAGGAGATGGTGGAGTGGACTAGAATCTCATAAAAATTAATTAACTTGTTTAATGGTAAATACTCAAACCTTCAATCGGCGCCTTGCACTCTGTATTCATATTCCAACTTTTCCATTTCTTTTATCGTCCATCTTTTACAGTCGTGACATCACAATGTCTTCTTTCTAAACCATTATTTTACAAAAGTTTGTATGTGTGCCGTTTATAACTGGCGAACTGCTGGACTGATTGCCACCAAACGTGGCAAGTACACTTATGGTTACCCTGGGGAATGACACTGGGGGGGGGTGACTATCCATGCCACCCCGGAGGTCCTGTGTCTCCCCTGTCCATTGAACAGGTAAGTTGGCTAGTATCCTTCAATTTATGTATGTTTTGCATGCGTCATATAATCATAATTTTGCACTGGTTTTCAATTTCGATTTGGTGACTTAACGTACGTTGATCACCTTTAACGACACATTAGAAAAATCCAGCTGATTCTTTCTTTAGAATCTGAAATTAAAACTTAATTTTTACTTTTAATCATCTTAAAGTGTCGAAAGTGGTCTCCAGCAACGGGTGTTTTTAGTCTATAATATATTAATATAATTTTTGTGTGATTATTGAGTAAAACTACTTGACTGGTTTGTGTCTAATGTCAAAGCGTTTTTAATATGTAAAGGGTTGTTTGTCTGTAGAAGTATCTTGACAAATATTTCAGAATAATAAGAAATATATTTATAAATCATTAAACAGTTGTTTTCACTAAGATTCCGATAACGTTGAACAGTATTAGAACATTTTAAGTAAGTGGTCGAAAGCTATACTAATTGGAAATTATATCAAATCTAACTCTCAAAAAATTCTTAACTTAGTTTCAAATATGTGTTTAATTAAACAATGTGACGAAACTGTCAGCATTAATTTCTTTCTGAACGTGTAAAGCATTAGAACACATGTTTGCCACTACGTAAATTACACAACTAACAGCAAAATATCTAAGAATCAGACCCAAGTCTGAAACACAAATAAAATAATTATGTTAACATAATATCCGAACACACGGTAGTTCAAGTTATTATACATATACGACTTGCTTGAATTTTTTTAAGTAGTTCACCAAGGGCGTGTATCATACTTGTACATTTGAACAGGAGTAACTTTATGCTTTTTACACTGTATCAAAATATGTAAGATTACCTTCGTCAAGGTTTCATTTGTATATGCGTACAAGTGTATTGCAATGCGTGAAATTATATATCGTAAACTTTCTGCAACATAGTTTTTATTCCTGGATCAAAGTAGTCATGCAAGTGCGACAGCTAATGGCCTTGGAAATATATATATATTTTTTGCGTACGTCAGCAATTTCAAGGTGTTGTACACTTGAATCTTAACTAATATATGATGCGTGTGTATGTGTGCGCTCTTGAAATTATTCAAAATATTACAATGATTATTTATGTGCTTCGAAATGTATTTTGTATCGTTTATTGCATCAACGATCGATATAAATGTGGCAGTAACTCACGTCTGCTATGCCAAGAAGGAATACATATGCAGTGTCATGAAGAAAAACAAAGTCAATTTGATTGAGACTTCATGTTCGTTCTTTCCCAATGACTTTCACAAACCAAAAAAATTGGCTGAAATATAATGTAAAACGGGCTATTTCAAGATCAGTATTTCATTTCAGTTTTCGGTCATTTGAAAGATCAGATTCTGATAACTACCAAGTATATAGATTCTACCAACCAATGTACGTGTAAACAGATAATTTATTACTATCTTTTTCTCCTCTTTGAAATCTCTCAAAGTGACACATCACTATCGACGAACCTGGTTTTAATTGCCAAGGTGTTTGTATAGGTACGCATAAAACTTGTGTGTGTATCTTCGCTTATAGTATCTGTGCATGACGTAAAACGTACAGACTTTGACCTGTGCTGTTACGAGACGTATTATCTGAAACAAAACTCTTATTATTCCTACAAGGCAAATGTAATTTGCAGAATTCAACTGAATTATACGTAACCATTGTTAAAGTATATAAGCCTAGTTGTTTGGAGTGAGAAGACATGAAAATCATTTTTGGAGCAATTCTGGACTTGTGTAAGAACATTCCCAGTAACGGGCGTTATCACCTTAAGGCCCCTGAAAAATAAACTTTAGAACTTACCTTCAGTTCTTAGCGTTAACTCTGAATCTGTTGCTTATCAATACGCGACTTCGACAGTTTAATAGTTACGTATTATTTTAGGGTGCGTGGATATTAAACTATCGTAAGATCACTAGTTTACCCCTTGCATATAAATTACGTGCAATATGATGAAATTTTTCAAAAAGAAGAAGAACTACGAACTTGCTATCGGCAATGTTAGTGAAAGACCTGCCCAATACAATGCTGTTCGGTCTTCCATCTTGGAAAACCCGCAGAAGGAAGATAGTGAGTACTTTTTGTGGTTCATATCCTCGTGTGTGAAGTTTCTATGTTAAATGTACATGTGTGTTGTTATGCTTTTATAATACTTGCACACTGTATAAACAGATATGTAGTTATGCCGGAACAGTCAAAAACTTTTTTTTTGGGGGGGGGGGTGACCAGAACACTTCGTGCAAACTTTGGTTCTGTAACATCAGTATCATTCATTTAACAAACTGTATACGCCCTCTTGTAAAAAGAAAACGTCAGTACTGTACAGTGCTTTTTTTTATTATTTATTTACCAGTTTATTTATAAAAACGAATTTTGGAAATACTTTCTTACCACTAAACTTTTTCAAACATCCCAGAGTTTTCTTGTTCATTAAGAGGTATTTAAGTGGAATCATTGCATTATTTGACAATGTACTTTGGTAATTTTAATATTAAACGTGAGTGTTTATATATATATATATATATATATATATATATATATAG